TTCAAAGCCCGGAAAACATTCCTAAATGTAATCTGACCGGCCGTGAAAGCCTTCATAGTCTGATAATAATAAATATTTCTGATCTTAGCGAAATGTAAAATCGGGTGGTTTTTCAGGGTAAGAAAATATAATCAATTAACATGCTCAGCGCACTGAAGTGGGCGTAGTCAGAAATATAAAAACTTAGTAGAAATATAAAAAAGGGCATATTTTATAATGGCCCAGTTATTACAATTATAAACGACTAGATTGGTATTTTTAAGTAATATACACTTATTTTCAAAAAGTCTCTTGGGGGACGTCTGGCCATTAATTTTCTTTTCCGTATATTTGAGAATTTAGTTAGGAATCGTCTGTAGTAAGTAATTAATAAATATTTAAATATCTGCAATAAAACGAGTAACAATAATTCTGCATAAAAAATAGCTGAACAGAATAACAGATTAAGTAATATCTTCAGCCAAAGCAATGGCGATTTACGTCGTGCTCCTAGCTAATACAATATGGTAAATACCGAATATAATATTTGGCAAATCAACTAAATTACCTAAAAGAATGACAATATATTGCTTACTACTCTCTCAATAGCACCAAAAGCCTGTCGTTAGCTTTGGAATCAAATTTCTATATATATGGATCATGAAAACAACTCCGGCTGGAATAATAAGCGGAAAAGTCATTTCAAATATCGCAAGGGCACTTCGAATGGTTTTATATTTTAGAATTGTTATCACGAATAAGCTTAGTAACAAAAAAAAAACACGTTAATAATTTATAGGGACGGACTTGTTGCGTTTAGCGGTGAATGTTATAAAATAAGTCATCATCATTTCGTACTGCTATAGATGATATTGGTCCTTAAGTAGCGATTTCACCTGTTTCAAAATGATCATGCTCAATGTTACAAGTTCGCCAAGGTAAAGTGAAAATGTATGTATGGCACAATGCTTATCATTGGGCCAATTGGGTCTATAATAACGATCCACTTTTAAGTTTCGTTGGTTGCCTTAGTTAAAAAAAATGCATACACTAAATTTTCTGATGAGAAATTTGACACCAACACTCTTTTACATACATTGAAATATTACTTTTGTACACTAAATGTTACAGTTAAATATTTTCTTATTGTTAAATTGGTTCAATTAAGCAGCGTAGCTCATCAGTCATCATCACAGATTTTGCTCTTACGTGCTCAAGGCAATTATGCTACATATTCTAAATACAGACAGGCTCTATACTGTGAAACTGGTTATTTTTTTGATAGATTTTCAGAGCTTTAAAATAC